TCCAGCACCCTGGCATAGACTTTCCCAGGGAGGCTGAGGAGTGTGATCCCCCTGTAGTTGGAACACACCCTCCGGCCCCTTTCTTAAAGATGGGGACCACCACCCCGGTCTGCCAGTCCAGGGGTACTTTATTAAATTGACTACTTAAATTAAATTAAATTAAATACTTTATTAAATTTATTAATCTTTAATCTTTTAGCACTTTAACATCTTTTGTGTGTAAATGTGATGTAATTTATAAATAGAACTTCATGATTCTAAAAACATTTTACTTTGTCTTTAAACGCACAATTTTAAAACTTATTTAAATTTCATGCAATGATTATTTACTTTAACTCTTCTAATTTTTTATATCACATTTTTAGATATAAACTTTTTTTATATCTTACTTCTTTATGACATTTATTTTTATTTTTATTTCTCTTTGTTGTTAATTTATTATTATTACATTTAGTTCACTCTCTATATTTTTAAAAGGGTTGTGACTATTAACCTAAAATCAGGTGACAGAGGAATACACTGGTGGACGACAGGATCTGTCAAACTAAAAAAAAAGATGGAAAACATCTTTTCTATTTGTTGAATTTCACTAATAAAATTAAAGTGAGTGGTGAGTGACACTGGTGTCGTGGTATTTCAGGTGGAGTTGGAGCAGGAAACAGTCGGAGGTGAAGCTTGGTGTCTGCAGAGAGCAGCAGCTCCAACATATGCAGCGCCACACAGCATAGACAGCAGCCTGCAGTAATGATCTGTTTACTTCTAATTAACAACAGATGGACAGAATGAGTGAGGGAGCGTGAGGAGGAGAGGAGATGAAAAGCAGAGAGGACCACAAAGATTGTACATTTACAGTTAAAATCATCCGTTTGATGAACTGAATAAGTCACAGTTTGCTTTTCTGCTCTTTTCCTTTCACACTGCGAACCAGACACCAGACATCACTCTTTAAAGTAGTGGAGCCTGTACCTGGCCTTGGAGGCAAAACTCGGGGTAAAAAAGGTTCAAAAAGGAGACTTCCCATTGAGCTAGCTTATTAAAGTTGCTCAGATATTTTTTTTATCCACTCAGACCTTCTCTTGTCTGAACAGTCAGAGATTTTAGAAAGAAACTTAAAACTATAAAAGTGAGGGCGACATGTCTTCATGTCACACTGGGAGATGGGTTTACGCACAAAGATGTCCTGCTGCAACATATCTAGAAGCTTCAGCATAAAAACAAGCTGTGTTTTGTTCTCTGTAGTTCACTGCCAGTCAGAGGCTTTTACTTTGAAGGGGGAGCTAACTGATGACAATCCAAAGAGGAACTTCCTCCACCTGCTTGGATGCTGAACATCAAACATTGTGATGAGGGAGACTGTGTGAACCATTTATAGAAGTATTAATGACGCCTCATGGGAGCGTGCGCACGCGCGCACACACACACACACACACACACACACACACACACACACGCACACGCACACACTTTCTCTGTATTCTTATGTATTGCAGAGGAAGTGGTTACTGTAGTTGATTCACTGCCATTTGCTTTAACTTAATCAGTTACCAAAAAAAATCAATTAATAGTTTCAATTCTTTTAGAGCAAATAGAACAAAACAGCATAAAATGTTTGCGGACGCTGGCGTCACAAAAGAAAAAAAACTGCTGCTTTTGAGTTTGGATGCAAAATTAATGTTTGAAGGTTTTTGGACCCAAAGAAATTGAGATATTCCAAGGATTTTGTAGAGCAAATAATTTTAAAAATAGCATTTTTTTTTCTTTTGCTTGCTTTAATAAAATAACTTAAAATGTCTAAAGAGTCAAGATCTTCATTTGACCTCATCAGCCACAACATTAAAACCTGTGCTGGTCTCATTAATGGCACTGAAAATAATTTCCTACCATTCAAAAGACTGACTTCACAGACATCTGAAGGTGTCCTGTGGTATCAGACACTAAGATCTTACATGCTTTGAGTCCTGGAAGTAGCAAAAGCATCTCTTTGGATTGTTTTTACACCACATCTCATAGATGTTTTGGCTAAGACCACCTAAAACTCTGCCATGTTCACCAAATAATTTCTGAGATATCTGTAGAGTGGTGGGTGCATCATGTCACTTAGATACTACTAAATATATTACTAAATACAGCTGCTGAAGATTGGGGAGATCACACCATAAGATAAAAGGAAAAACAGTTATTGACTTGAAAAGTGAAAAGTACAATGCAAACGTTTTTCAGACCAAAACCCAGTTTGCACCGGTTTGGTGTGTTAGTAAATCTGACCCTTAGTGCTAAACAAGAGATTAAAACAATTACTTAAAGTTCATTCACAAAAACTAAAGCACCAACGTCTTTGATTGTCTGTACCATCGTATCAGCCACTTATGCCTTTAAAAATGATCTAACATACAGTGAAGAGCTCTATTTTTGTGACTTACAGTCGTGGATGAGGTCTAGCACTGGCCTTCAGCTGTTTGTGTTGGTCACCTGTCTGTCAGTTATCCAGGTGAATGAGTGGAAAAAACACAAACTCTACACAAAGTCCTAAACTGTATTTTGTACCAGGCTCTAAATGTGCTTGTTAATGCTGTTGCAGCGAGACTAAACGCAGATTGACTCACTTTTGGAGACAGCCTCATGCAGCCACTTCAAGTTTTCGACACTTTGGCATTAGCTTAATTTCTCAGTTGGCCCTTGGGTCATACATGTCGAAAACACATCTACATGGATGCCAGGAAGCAATGTTTCATAGCATAACATTAAACTGAGCATCACATTCCTCTGCTGTCTTCACTTTTCACAACAATGAACAACGATTGACTTTAGTTGGCAAACGTTGGGAGGAAAAAAATTAAAACAGAAAGATCTCCAACATCTGCTGCAACCAGATGCTGGGGTGGGTGTAAAAGAGGAAAGCAGGAGACGGAGCACACACCTGGCTGTGCACAGAATCTCAAAGAAACTGTGATTCATGAGACCGGACCATCGGCTGTAGCTGCTTTAGGCCGTAGGCACGGGGTCATGACGGCTACTCAAGAGACCGTTCTGCAGGTATGCATCTCCAGATGCAGCAAGCTGTGAAGCATTGTATGTTCCGACACCTTTCATGAGACCAAGCACTAAACGGTTCACATTACAGTAACGTAATGAGCTTTCAGCCACCGTGACCTTGTCAATGGTTCACTGGTTCTCTTTCTTTGGACCTCTTTTGTAGGTACTAACTACTGCACCCCACGGACTGCGTTAAAGGCCTGCCATCTAAGCATCACAATTTAACCCTCGGCAAAGTAGCTCTGATCCTCACACAGCCATTTTTTCTGCATCCAACACACCAATTTCAAGAACTGATTGTTCACTTCCTGCATTATTTAAGTCTCACCCCTTCATAGGTGCTTGGAAGGAGACAATCAATGCTATTTACTTCTCTCAGTGCTTTTACCAGCGCACAGACTGTTACTGGGTGCATTTTAAAATGAGAGACGAAGCTGTTATTTTGTTTTAGCAGAAGAAGAGCAGGAGCAGTTCGTTCCTTACTTGTTGAAGAGGACACACCATCCACAGTGAGGGTCTCCTGATCCCAGACAGTCTGAGCAGCTGCTGTACTGCTCACAGCTCTCCACCGGCAGTCTGCTCACCTGAAACAAACATTCACACCAGACATGTGACCAAGTCCACCAGCAGTCGTGTTTAAAGCAGAAACATGGGCAGGTACCTGAGAATGAAAACTGGGTTGGTATTTGATATGAATTTGCTAAACTGTTCGATTAAGGCAGGTTTGCACTCAAGTATTTTTGATTTCAGCGTCAGAAAATGTTTCTGAACCTTCTGCTGACTGTTTGTTACTGACGTCAATGTGTAAAAACCGATTTGATATTGATTTAGGTGATTGTATGACTGCAACATGAGACATTACTGAAACTGTTCCTACATCACACATTTGTGTGTGTGAGTGAGTGTGACGGGTATTATCTCATTGTGGTTTAGTGGGTTTCTGCTAATATTAACAGCCAGAGAAAGCAGCACACTCTCTTGACTTTGTGAACTCTGTGTGTGTGAGCGTGTATTTATATCTTTGTGAAGACCAAAAATTGGAACTTTACTGTACTTTACTGGACATTTTGAGGCAAGCCAAGTGTGGACTCATTGTTGGCAAATGTGGGACATTATCATGAATCTGGGGAAAAATTTGTGGCAGTTTTTTGAGAGAAGGAAGCTTTTTGAAAAATGGGCATACATGGATGTAAATTTATTATATCTGAAGACTATAAGGACATTTTTGCAGAATGGGGACACTACTACAAAAAGTGTGAACAATTCAAAAAGTGAAGAGACTTTCTTTTAAAGTGGGGACCTTTTACAAGTTCTTATCTTAAATGTGTAACGAGGGACAATTACGTCATCACGCTGTTCTTAGAAGTTGCTTCCTTGTCTTTAGATTAGATTTCTGTTAAGTGGGGACGTTTTCTGAAGGTGGGGTTTTTTTTTGTTCATGTGTTTTTGAGGCTTGAATGTTCAACAATTTTATTTCCTGTGTGATTTGGTCTCAAACTGTATATCAGGTTTTTAGGCAGCTGAAAAAAAATTGGCTAAATTTTCTTTTTCCTAGAAAAACTTTTTTTTCCCCAAAAAAACATTTGGTTAGATCACCAGTGATGCCTTGAATCACTTAATGCTTCTGAAAGCACATGAAACATACGTGAACATAACTGAGCTGCTCGCCATCTCAGTTTAAGATGGAAAACAATGGATGTTTGAGAAAGTGAAGACAGAGACGGTCAGTTCGGGTCCTCACAAAGACGTAAATACAAGCGTGTGTGTGTCGTATCTTTTACCCAGAAGCCATTGCAGCAGGGAGACAGTAAACACAGTGATAACTCTGTTGGTCTCATTCAGACGTTCACACATGAATACATTCATTGTCTCGCACAGACGGTCCTGTCTCCTCTCTGACCCCATTATCAGGTTGCTCTTAAAGAGACGCTGCTGTTTCCGTCGGACTTCATCTAAAAGCTGCTGACGCCGTGGTTCCCATTCTCATACAGCCCCGTTCACATTGTTTATTCACTGATATGTGGAGTTCAAATCATGCTGACGCAAATGAAATCCAACTGATGAGAAGAAACTCCCGGAACACTTATTTTTATCCTTATTTTACGTGTTCACAAGCAGCATATGAACCTGTAATAAACTAGCTATATGCTATAATGCAACGTTGAACTTGGTAAATGGTAAAGTAAACAAGTTGTGGGTCACAAGACATCGGTTTTCCAACAGGTCAGCCAAAGTCAAATCCATTTAAGGTTTCAGTGGTAGAGAGTTCTTTGTTTCCTTTGTCTGTTGAAGGACCCGGCGCTAAACCTCCACTGGAAATCTGCTGATTTAAAAGTTAAGCAAGTCTTCCAGACTGACAGTCGCAAGAATGTCAGATTATTGAATTCAGAACTGTGAACACTTTGTTTGGTATCATCACAGGAATCTGAACAAACAGCACTCAGTGGTCACAAACAGTGACGCTAGAAGTACTGGATATGCTGACCCAGAGTACCTCATGTGTAACTTTCAAGCTCCTGTGGGGTCATTTATTATCACCGCCCTATATTTATATGTATAGTTATAGTAAGTGTCTCACAGTATGAATACATCTACTTTTTAAAAAGAAGAAAAACCAAACAGCAATGGGTCGATTGGTGAGGCAAGAGCAACAGACAAATGTGAGGAGGACATTTATGTCATTCTCATGTTCTACTTCTAACTGTTGTTGTTTCTGTTTTTACTGGGACTTTTTTTGGGCATCTTGAGTGTCTTGCCCAAAGGCACTTGGACCGGAACACCACCCACCTTCTAACTGGTGGAGAACCCCAGTAATGTGTTGCAGTAAACAAAGAAAAACAGCTTTAAGGCAGACACTCAGTGCCTAAAGTGACAATTAAAGCACAGCACAGTTGTCAGAGATGAGTTGGGTTTGAATGAAAATGATAAAAAATGACATTAAGCCCACCACCAGCCTACCTGCTCAGGAGTGGCAGTTGGACTGTGAAAATGCAAACTTCAAACAGAGTAAAAGGTTTTACTTTGAAATGTGTTGATTAAAAACAAGAAGATTTTGTGAGGTTATGGCAAGCCAAGGCATGAGATCATGGATTATCATGAATCATGCAAAGCTACTCTAGGAGACATCAAGAATAAAAATGTGCTGGGAATGAGCAGACTAGGTCCTGTTCAAGTAAACCTCATTTTCATGATATGATCAAAACAGGAAAAAACTCATGAAAGATACTCATGTCCATGGAAACACAGTCGCTGAGAGTGTGTGTGTGTGTGCGTGTGCGTGTGTGTGTGTGTGTGTTTTCTTATTTTATTTAATCAAAAAGAATAAAATCAGGAGTTTTCCTGGGAATCTGCTGATTTAACTCTTACAAAGATCTTTAATTCAGAGATGAATTTCTTTCCAAAAAAACATCCTCTGGAAAACTGCATTTCTCCGTATCACTGAACATAAGGTGGGATGTATGCAGGATGGTTGCTGTAAGAATGCTAATAACACCAGCAATTCATCTTCCTCTAGATGTGTTTACTCGTGTTTATGTTTATTTAATTCTCGGCACAGCGGCTAAACTGAATCGTGATTAAAACACGGAGCTGAAAACACTGCAGGATCTCAGTCAACACTTTTTTTTTGCTAATGAAATAAGGATTGAAGTGTTTTTAGGTCATGCAAGTGTCTGTTTGGGAATCCTGTCTGCTGTCTGTGAATGCAGCAGCTGCTGCAGGTGTGGCACTGACAGAAACAATCAGTTTGATCGCAAACTGGTCGAGTCTGTCTGCTCATATGGCAGCCAGCCTGCAGTTCTGATTGGCTGCTGAAAGCTCATGTAAATGTGTGCGAGTGTTTATGTAACACTGCAGTGAAACAGTGTCAGGCAGAGAACGAGCCGAGGACTGCGCCTGTGTCTCTGAATACTAATCAAATACAACTGCACATCTGACCTGTTTGTACTTCAAGTGTTTACACTTCAGGACACTTGGAATGTATACAGGACCTTAAATTATTCTATTCACATACAAAGTCCAGAATAATCACTCTCCATCATCTCTTAAAGACCCCGTAGTATCAAATTATTCCAGTAGGGCAGTTTGCTCTCAGGCTGCGGGCGTACTTGTGGTTCCCAGGATATCTAAAAGTAGAATGGGAGGCAGAGCCTTCGGCCTTCAGGTCTCTCCTCTGTGGAACCAGCTTGGATTCAGCAGTCAGACTGCCTCTCTACTGATTCTAGATCAGTCTTTTAACTTTCTATCTTGATAAAGCATTTAGTTATGATTGGATCAGGTGAGTCTGATCTCACACTCCTATAGGCCGAGGCTGCTGAGGGACCTCACATGATGAACTGAGCATTTCTCCTTTTCCAGACAATCCGCATTTTAAGTCTGACGTCATTAGCTGCTTCCAGGTCCAAACTCCGCTTGAGTAGTTTGGGCCCGGAAGCAGGGTTCATACGTCATCACTTAACAACCAGATAACACAGCAGACTGTAGCCAATCTGGTGTGTTTCAAGCACCAGTATAAATGGAAACAGGACTGTGGTGATGTCACACGTTTTTCTTTTCACTGATTCTTTTTAAAGTTCTGATGATTTGTATGTTGAGGTTCGTTCTTTACTCCTTTATTCTTTCCTGATCCAAAGCGTTCTGCACGTTTTTCCTGTGTGCGCTCTCGCTGACTTCCTCCCACAGACCAAAGACGCACATGTCAGATTGCCCGGAGTCTAAACTCAGTCGTCTGTCTCTCTGTTGAACCATGCAACAAACTGGGGTTGTATCCCGCCACTGACTTATGACCCTGAATCCAGTAAGTGGAAGAGGATGGATGGGCATTTCATGGTCCATGCTTTGGGAATCATGGACTAGATAAATAATCAATTTGTTGTTTGGCTGTTTATCACCAGATTATTCTTTCATCAAAAAACATCATGTCAGAAATCCCTTTTAAGAACCAGCTTATTTAACAGTGATGTTTGTCTTTGATATCTTTATTTATTGAAAACTGCTCATTTACAGTATCGACTGCTCTGTCACAGAAATTATTCATCTTTGCATTTAAAAATGTACTGATTCTGAACATATCAGCAACTTAACAAATGTGTCTCTGTAAAAAACAAATTGTTTCCTATAACTTTTCTGTTTCTCTTAATCAAAATATATTAAATCAGACCCTGATTGAATTTTTAAAAAATAAATTTTTACTTCACTGATGTAGAACTTCCAGAGTTTTTTTCCAGAGTTTTTTAGATGTACGTCTTTAA